GTTGACATTGTGCACATAAAAATTAAAAATAAAAACCTAAAAAAAAAGGATTTTCTGTTTGCCTCTCTCTCTCTTTCTCTCTCTCTCTCTCTTGACATTGTGCACATACACCTAAAAAATAAAAACCTAAAATAAGGATTTTCAGTTTGACTCTCTCTCTCTCTATCTCTCTCTCTCTCTCTCTCTCTCTCTCTCTCCCTCCATCCATCCATCCTTTCTAGTCAAATCCTTCCCGTTGAACCGGACCCACGGCGAGGAAAACCCTCGGCTTCCTCCCGCCGTCGTGCTGATGCATGATGGGAAAGCGGCGCCCGCCAGCCGGAGCGAGGGCGAGCGAGGGCGAGCGAGGGCGAGCGGGTTTGTTTGAGCTGCTGGTGGATCTGTGTGGATCTTTGCCAAAATCCCTCCATTTCTGGTAGGCCTGAGCGGACAGGAAGCACCTGTCCGCTCCACTTCCTGCTCCTCCTCCTTGCCGCGCTCCCATTGGCCGACCCCGGCGTGAGTCTTCGCATGCACAGAACACAGAGCAAGAACGAGAGCAAAAGCGGAAAGCTTGAGCTGTTTTCACTCCTCCGACTTGAGGGCAGTTTTTGTTCTGGAGTCTGTTTTTATTTTTATTTTTTTTCAGGCATTTTTCCGGACGCCCTCGGCCGCTACTCGGCTTTGTGGCAGTAGATGTCCTTCAGGGCTTTCAGCTCCTCAATCAGGGTCTTGTTTTGGTTTTCCAGGACGGCCACTCGGTTTTCCAGACACTTTACGTACTCTTTCTTTTTCCGGCGGCATTCCCGGGCGGCTTCCCTGGAAAGCAAAGAGGGGAAGACATGTGATCGGGGCCTTTCAGACCTAACTAACCCCGCCCCCCTTTCTTGGCCGAGTTATGACATCAAACTTAACTGCGTTTGCCAATCAAAAGCGCAACAACGCCGGCTAATCTCGGCTCCTGAAATAGCAACTGGAGTTTTCTCCGATCCCCTAAAGAATGAACCTGATTGGTCCCCCCCCCACCCCCTGTTAAGGAGCTAATGAGGTCAGGAGGCTGCCCTGGCCACAAATATCAAAGTGTATGATGAAAAAAATAATAATAATAATTTCCCTCTGGCATTATTAAAGTATGTAAAGAATGTATGATCTGACAGGTTAACTGCTGAGTCATGGTGTCATACAGCCACAAACATAAAAGTGTATGATGATCTGACAGGTTAAATGCTGAGTCATGGTCTCATAAAGCCACAAATATCAAAATTTGTGATGATCTGTAAGGTTAACTGCAGAGTCATGGTGTCATATACCAAAAACATCAAAGTAAATGATGATCTGACAAGTTAACTGTCGAGTCATGGTGTCACACAGCCACAAACATCAAAGTGTATGATGACCTAACAGGTTAATATAAAGTATTTCTGCTCTGACATGTTAACTGCTGAGTCATGGTGTCATACAGTCACAAATATCAAAGTATACGATGATCTGAGGGGTTAAATGCTGAGTCATGGTGTCATACAGCCACAAACATCAAAGTATATGATGAGCTGACACGTAAACTGCTGAGTCATGGTGTCGTACAGCCACAAACATCAAAGTGTATGATGATCTGACGGGTTAACTGCTGAGTCATGGTGTCATATAGCCACAAACATCAAAGTGTAAGATGAAAAAAACAATAATAATAATTTCCCACTGGGATTAATAAAGTATTTCTGATCTGACAGGTTAACTGCCGAGTCATGGTGTCATACAGCAGCATGTTCACGCATTCAACAGACGCTTTTACCCAAAAGCCCCAAATATCAAAGTGTATGTATATGTTTGTTTATGTATAAAAAAATAATAATAATAATTTCCCTCTGGCATTATTAAAGTATTTAAAGTATTTCTGATCTGACATGTTAACTGCTGAGTCATGGTGACCGCCCCCCCCCCTTACCTGTTCTTCATCAGCCGCACCTCCCTCTTGCGGGTGACCTCCTCGGCGTGGTGTGAGGAGGGGCTCTGCATGCTGCTGGGGGAGGCGGCCATGACGATGCTCTGGGCCAGGCCCGAGGTGGGCGAGCGCAGCTGATAGGCCGGGATGTCTCCCGTAGCGGCTGTGGGGGGGAGGGAGGGCGGCCATTTTGATTAGGTCACCAATAGGAAGATCCCAGGTAAGAAAATCGCAATTGCTTCATGGCAATATAGACATTAATTTAAAAATAGTGGAATTAATCTTGCAAACGCTGAATTAAACTCTATACATAATATTATGTTAAAATAGTGGATGTTAAATAGGTTTGTACAATAAGTTCAAACTACTTTAACAAAATAATATTTATTTCTCACAATAATGAAGGGTTAGTTTTAGGGTTAGGGTTAGAGTCAGGGTTAGGGTCACGGTCAGGGTTAGGTTTAGGGTTAAGGTTAGTTTTAAGTTTAGGTTGAGGGTTAGGTTTAGGGTCAGGGTTAAGTTTAGGGTTAGGGTCAGGTTCAGGATTAGGTTTAAATTTAGGTTGAGGGTTAGGTTTAGGTTGAGGGTTAGGTTTAGGTTTAGGTTGAGGGTTAGGCTTAGGGTTAGGTTCAGGGTTAAGTTTAGGGTTAGGGTTAGGTTTAGGAGATCGTTTGTATTCCGATTTCGTATAGACAGTAAAGTTTCGTTTCCACCTCAGAAAGCTGCTAGTCACATGACCTATTCAAAATGGCCGACTTGGATGTGGGCGGAGTCGGATATCCAACCGAGGCTCCTACAGGCTGCAGCCACAGGCTGCTCACCATGGAAAATAAGTTTCTATA